ACATGGAAATGGGGACACGCACGACCGTACTGATCGCAGCAGGCGGCTTGCTTCTCCGGAGTCCAGAGGTTCTTCCAGTCATGGTATCCTTCGTAGCAGTTCAATGTGGGCTCCATGTCGTCTGCACCGACGGGTGTGCGATGCGAGAGGAACCACCACAAAAGGCCTGTGACAGTGCATGGCAGTATGCATCAGATTGTTCAGCATTCATGTAAACATCAGCAACACCCACGAAGCAGGTAAAAGCCATGGCACCCAATCCGATGAGGAGCGCCGCAAGCATGAGGCAAGGCACGCACCAAACAGCGCCACTGGAGCCCTTCTTGGCCGCCTCCTTCTTCTCCCAATCCCCCATTCCTCGGATCAACCATGCAAGGCTCTCCTGATTCTCCCGCTTGGGCTGACTCTGACCCGGTAACGCAAAGCCTCGCTGCTAGCATCTCACTTCTCTGCACTCACTCTCCGGGGCCATTGATCTTCGTGACCTTTCACAAGGCCTAAGCCCTCTATAGTTCAGGCAAAGAGACCTCTGCCGACCCAGACCATGTCAGAGGAGACGGAATATTGCCCCATAGATGCCCCGACGTATTGATACCCTTTGCTCGTCTCGATGGATGAACGGTCCCCTGCAACATTCAGAGAGCATGGATAGGGGTGAGGTGTGTTCACGTTGCCACGTTGCACAGTTGTCACGTACAGAGATGAACATTCCGGTCAAGACCCTGCAATACCCTGCAAGCCACCCTCGAAGCATGCTGCGGCACAGCCGTCAGGCGCGCCCTCAACGTCGCTATAACCCATGGTGAGGCAAGAAGGCTTGGGAAGCAAATTTAGATCCTCTTTCGAGCCAAGCGGAGGCTGCAGCCAAAGCAGCGCGATCATGATCGGATGACTATCCCAACTACCGTACTCACGTTTTCGGTCAAATTATTGAAGATCCTCGGACCGAGAATCACCAGCTTAGCCCAGAATAGGAGCCCGTCGTCACGGTGTCACGGTGTTGTATTTCCTGAACGCTTCTCGAACACGTCCGAAAATATTCAGTCTTCGCGGATAAGACTCTGCGCTCACAGCGTGTCCAGGCTCCGAGCCGTCAAGCATCCAAGAGTACCCAACCATACAAACTCACAACTAAACTAGTAAATAAAAGTACCAGTCTCGTCCGGCGTCATTGCGTCGACTTGGCTGGAATTGGCAGCCCTGGAATGCGGCAAGCTACGCGGGAAATGCATCTGTGGGGGTGTTGGGGCACCTGGGGCGGCTGAGAAACTCGAGGTCAGACTGCTCGGGGGGGGGGAAGTACAGCGAGGCCGATGCCTTCACTCGTCATGGACGCCTTTTTGACTCTACTGAGACTCTACTGGTCTGGTGTCGGTTGCTTTGCCGATACCAGAAGGGCAATGCCCGAGCGGCGAGCCTTGCCCGGCCTTGCCCCAGCGTGCTGAACTCAGCAGCCGAGGCCATGAGACCAGCAGCAGTAGGCCTCGCACAGTAGGCAAGGAAGAGCAGGGCCCAACTCTTTGCGAGCTTAGCTTTTGCGTGCCTTCTTGTCCGAAGACCAAGCTGCAGCGGCATTTTGCAAGGCAGCAAAGCAATCGTAGTCTGCTGCGCGCTTCACCCACGTCCAGCTATTGTCGACCTCCGGAAGCACGTCCCATGCAGCTGGGACCTCTTTGCATCTGCCATGCCTTGGCCCGGGCCCATGTCTTGCCAAGACCGGCATCCTCAGACAAGGATTAACAACTCTTTTTCTACGCTCGCAGTGCTCCAGCTACCTCTGCTACAGCTCCAAGCTATGCCACAAGTCTGTTGGACCCTGTGGTTTACGATATAGGGAAGGCACCTTGACAGCTGCGGAAGCGACTTTCAGGCAAGGCTCCTGGTCTGGGAGATGGTCGGAACGGCAGCCCAATCCATGCTCTTGGCAGCAAAACTCTTGCTTCTGCTGCTTCCATCCCTGGGAATCGAACAGCATGGTAAGCGTCAGTGAAGAAGAAAAAGCGAGAAACTTGCCATTTTTTCGGGCGAGCAGCATAAGGGTCGTCAGAGCAGTCGAAGGAGCGATCGGAGCCGTCCTCGCAGCCCATCTCCTGCGCGCTCAAGAGCTAGCACGGCATGGCACGAGTTCGCTATCTCGGCCTCCACGGAGCATTGCCAGCAAGCATCGCACTCCAGTTGCACCTGCGTCGGCAGAAAGCACCCCTGCATGACTTGCACGTTCCTGCCTTGCTATAAGCCAGAGTGCAAGCGTTCTCCTCGGCACAAAGGCATGGACATGGAAGACAAGCATGGACTGACCGCATGTCCTGGTTTGGGAAGATGTTGTGAAGTATCCAGCGGAAGTGCTGCCTGCCTTGGTTGAGCCCAGCATTGCTTTAGCAACCCAGCTCCCATCCGAAAGGCATAAAAAAAACCAAGCTACAAGTTGAAGCTGTTCCATGGCAGTGTTCGTTGCACTTGCTTCTTGGAGCCTCAGGAGGGCAGCCTTTCTGGAAGTGCTGGCAGCACCTGAGCTGCAGGTACGTGTAATTGTCAACTACAACCTTGGGCCGCGGGCCATCCGTGGTCTTGGGGACCTGGCCACTCTCGCTGGCCAGAAGGCATGCTGTGGACCTCAGATTTTGACTTGCGCCATGTGGACGCACGGTCTCAAAGCCCCTAGACCGACGGCCATGAGTTGAAACTGACCTCGTCATAACTCCTCCATGCACCTCAATTGGAAAAATCAGGGTTCTCATGAGTCTTTCTCGAAGGCTCGAAGGTCACAGCGGCTGAACTGCCAGTCGTGTCAAGCGTCACGTGCTTGCGCTGCTCACTCCACCAAGGCTCGATAATCACTCAAGGCAACGCTGAGGGATTTCCACCACGTCTGCTTACCGTGCTGGCCTGAAAGCAAGAACGAGCTGGTGTCGCTCCTAGCGTCTCCAGCATTACCATGGTGTCCGAGTTCATGCAAAAAGAGAACCGTTGATATCGGACCTGGGACCTAGGGAATGCTGCGGACAACGCGTGCAGTACACTCAGTGCATGTTGTCTGCAGCATGCCCTGGTCCATCCGTTGCTCGCTAGCACGACGAGCGCCTTGCTGATGCCAGGGATCACAGTCAGCTTTTTTGGACTGTCTCATTGCAGTGGAATGGGCTGGATCGAGAAGATGCGCAGTCTGGACTTCCTTCACATCTTCTGGTCATCCCTTCTACCCCTGTTTGACAGAGTCTTCTCGTTGAAGCGGCTGCAGCCGGTCCCTTTCAACGAGCTCTGGTCCGGCGGGAGATATCGCAACTGGCTCCGGAACAGGGTGCCTTTTCTCCGAGCATGGTTCTGGCTTAACCCTCGCAAGCGCAGCGAAGTCTCTATTTAGCCGTGAACTTCTGCTCACGTGCCTCTTCCCCCGGTAGTCGGCGGGAAGAGCACAGCTCGCCATGGCTTGCCCTGCGTATCTCGTGGCATCGCGTACTTGCACCAGCCCTCGGGACGTGCGCTTGAGCCGTCGCCAGCCTTCAAGCCAGGTTCGGAGCGTTCAAGCCTCGAAGTTCGATGGTGACCAGCAGACCAGCACTTTAGAGTTGGCGCTTGGTGCCTAATTCTAGCAGCCTAGTTGTAGCAGGAGTTGCAGAAGCTGAATCTGCAGTAGTCGCGGAAGAGTCGCAAGACAGTCGCGGCACAGTGGAAGAAGTACTCAGTAGTGAAAGGAAGAGGCAGACAATGAATGAACACTTGTGTGATCAAAGCTTCTAGTTACCTATGAGTTGTTTGAGCCGTTGTCCTTGTCACCTCGTGAAGGGGTAGCTGTTCCGCACCGCTGCTCATGGTGATCGTGACAGGAAAAGCCAATAGCAAAACTCAACAGTACCAATTAACGACAACATGCAATAGAATGAGAACCACCACGACAATCAGTCCTGTAGGTAGCTATAGTGCAACAGCTACAAACACAGATGACTTTCGCACTGGAGGGTCATAGAAACTTGCGCAACACAGCTCACGCCGCAATCAACATGATGTCTACATGCTCGGAATATATTGCCATAACATGCGCCGTTCGCACAGCAACTACCAACAACGGCACAGCAACGGGTTTGCATGCTCTTGAAGAGATGGGCTTTGTGTCAGCAGGACACCAAGACTTCAGCTAATGACAACCCTATTGCAGTCTGCTGCACGTGTTGCTAAATGAGGCCCAGCTGCCGAACCCGTGCAGTCGAAGGAAGTGCAACCTCTGCCCTCATGGAGGCAGCACCAATCCTGCAAAAGACTGACCAACTTCTCTGCTGCAACCGTCGTAACGGTGGAAGAGAGACTATGACTTTCCGCAGGATCGAGAAGGGAGTTGCTGTGGTCACCAGTGTCCTTCTTGTTGTCTGACCAGCCTCTCTGCCAAGTCGACAGCCCAGTTTTGCAGTCCTCAGCTGAAGATCTAGAGTCTAGACTCTATCTTTAGAGAGAGAGAGAGAGAGAGAGAGAGAGACTGAGAAATAGAGAAGCGGGGGTAGAGAGAGAACGAGGAGAAACAAAAACAGAGGAGAAGAGAAAGGAACAAACAGCGGGGGGGGTTGCTGTCTCAGGCTCGAATCGCGGCTCTTGCGTGCTCCAAAGCGGCCTCCGGACCAGTTGCACGGCATTCTTTGGCCTTGACCGGTCTCTGGCAATGTGTACTGCATGCACTGGGTCTCGCGGGCCCATCCCACCATTCGCACCGGCGTGGAGTTCCAGGTCTTGGCAGTGAAGGCCTAAATGATGGCAGCAGTATGCCATTGCTCGGACGTTGATGTGGGGAGCGTCGCTTGTGAAGTTTCGGCGGCAGTCCGGAATGACGATGGGAGGATGTTGCGCGGATGCATCTGCGTGGAGCTGACTGAAAATAAGAATGACCAAAGCAAAAAGCACAAGACATCCCAGCAGTGGAATAGAAAAGCGGCAGCTGTCGAATTCCCAAGTCGGCACTCGCACTTCTCGCTGCAGGGTCCTTTGGCCATTAGAGCCTTTATCCTCCTTGACGCCCTCATAGGAACGCTGCTTGGCGCTCCGTGGGTTTTGGCTCGGGTCGTCTGAGAAGAGGCCGAAGAAGCATTGCGGACCACATACTGGAAGCCAGCCTCTCCACATGGCGCGTGGAGCACTGCGATGCCCACATGGCTTGAGATACAACAAAAGCCGTGTTTTTTTCAGCATGTTCTCCTCAGGCAGTTTCAAGCTACACACGCACAAGCATCAGCTTGCAGCACACTGTGAGGTGTAATTGCCAATTTTTGCAAATCTGGCAGCCGAAATTGCCACAGCACTTTCTTTGGTGCTGCAGACCTACATTGCCCGACTCTCAGGCATCTCTCACATCTCACATCACTACAGGCGGTGCCTTATGAATGCTGTGTCAGCTGTTCTGGTCCTGATCGCAGATACCATGCCATATCCGTAAACCTGCAATGAACGCGCTCGTTCTTCTTGTCCGACTTAAGTGCCTATGAAGATACAGGCAGCCGACTGTGCAAGCAACCGGGGCATGTCCCGCCGTGAAATTTGGGCACTGCATGAATTGAACAGGTGGTGCTTGCACCACACGAAACCGACAGGCGAATCCGGTCTGTGTTACGGCCTTGGATTTGGCTATCTGCTTTCGACCATGACAGCCCGACAGCTTCAATTCTGGAAGAAGAGCGTGACATTATTGTGAAAACAGCTGGATTAAGTCCTGACGGACAAATACTCAACGCACTTCAACCCTTCGTGTTTGCTGTCTTTCCGCTCCCCTCTGCAGCAGCTCCCAATTCAAAAAAGCCAATCCTTGAGATCAACTTCTCCGGACAGGAGACGGTGCAAGAAACCCACTCGGCCCATGCAGTGCTTGTGCAACTCTGCGACTGTTGTCGACCAAAGCAATGAAACTTCTGACACTGCACAATGCCAGATAAGCTTATCCAATCATGATGTGCTTCCACTATCAGCAAACAATAGACGCTGCACATACACACCATTTGTAGGTATACATGTATACATACATACATCCACGCCATACCACACCATATCATACCATACCATACCATACCATACCATACCATACCATACCATGCCATACCATGCCATACATGCATACATGCATACATACTGTCATACTGTCATACTGTACATACAGACAGACAGACAAACAGACAGACAGACAGACGTACATACGTACATACGGACATACACAAACACTACATACATAAGCTTACTTCTCATTGCATGGAACTAGCTCGCTAAGCATCGGAGCATCACTTTGGACGCCCTCGTGCAGGCCGCAATTTCGCCTGCGCATCAGGCGAGCTGATCAGGCAATACAATTTGCAACTGTCAGGCAGTTTTCTGCTTCACGAGCGGGAGTTGCAAAATGTCATCTGGCATGTCTCGAACTTGCCGATCCATCTGCGTCAACTTGCGCGACAATCAAACACAGAGCAAGAAGCACACGTCTTCTTTGCAATGGCAATTCGTGCAACAGCTTGAGCGTGAACAGTACTCAGCCACCCTGGCCTGCAAAATTTCCTGGCACATGCTGTGCGCGAGGACAGAATCAGAATTGGAGACACGACGCGAAAGTCTTGCAAGAGTCTTGCACCCAGGACGTATCTGCACAAGTCATTTGGTCCTCAATCAGACTCAGTCTCGGCTGCCAGATGGTAGCGGGGCCCGTCGTGCCTGAAGGGCGCTGTCGCAAGGGCCCCGCCCCAGAGCGAGAAAGCTGACATCTGAGGCACGAGGCCCAGCGAAGAAGGTGCTGCGGCGGCCGAAGGAAACGCAAGCGAGAAGCCCCAAGAAACCAGCCTCAGGACCATCCACGGTATCGGACATCCCTTAAATCAAAGGCGCGTGTGCCTGTGCCACCCTCGGCTACCCCTCACCCATCAACGCAAAAGCAAGCGAGGGCATGGCTGTAAAGCATGCAGCCAGCTGTCGCGAACGTGACGCCTGCCGGGCACACTTCTAAGGGCACAATAAGTTACCAGAACACCCGCCGGCAGTCTACAGACACTGCAGCATGATTACCCGGACATTGCCTGTAGCTGTCCTGCGCGCTCGGTGAGTTCCACCAGCCTCAGACATTCAAACCGGCTCAAAGCCCAGCAACACTCGGGTCGCCTCGAAGCCGGACACTCTGGCTCTGCAAAGGGGGGCAAGTCATTCTGAGCACCGCAGCTTGCGTTCAAGGTCGTCCGCACCCTGCGTGCGCCCACAAATGATACGGTTGTGGGGCCTTCTCTTCACACGCGACTGCACGGCAACGGCATGCAACGGCTATCTTTTGTGTATTTTCGGTGTCGATTATGCCCTATAACTAGCTCAATTCGTGGTGCCTGTCATAACATCAGTCCTACCCTTCATTCGGATTTCTGAATCTCAATCTTTTCAAGAAGAACATGGCTTCATGCATTCTGGACAACACTGTCACTCGCACCAGGATGTTCTCGCCGATGATTGACTTCACCGGCTCCTGGCACTGTAAAGCCGTGCTGGCTCCAAGCGGCCAGGTTCGACGGCTCAGCAGCAGGCATTTACGATCTTCAGCATTCGGGTGCGCTTTTTGATGCCTGGGCCCGTCGCAGATGCCAGAGGAATACGAAAGCGATTGGGCTATCGAGTGTCTCATGAGAGGCATTTTACAAATGCCTACTTGCAATCGCTGCCGTCTACGGCTCGCACCGTTACCACAGGTCGCGGTGCACTCGCCGTAGGGCCTCCAGTCGCCTGTGATCTCTGCGAGCTGCAGACCGGCTAGGTAGGCTTTTGTTCCGACTTCTAGACATGGTAGGACCCGGGCCCCAAGTACAATAGCTCAGCTCGTGACCTCAATCCCCAGGTGCACGCGGCCAAGCAAAATACTCAAGGACTCTAAGGCTCTAAGACCTTGAGCACTGGAGTGGAAGAAAGGGTGCGCTGAGCTGGCTACACTTCCTCGGGCAGCTAGCCGTTTCCTCTGCCCCCTCTGCCCTGCGCACAATGCTTTTTCAAAAGCAGTGCTTGCGGCTAGCTACAGGGAAAAGCCAGCGCGGCTCAAACCAAGGGTTGGGCGAGCAGCCACTGCCACCACACTGGGACCTCCCAATAGCAAATTCGCGAGTCTCTCCCTGCCACACAAGCAAAACCATCATGATCCGATCTTCGTTGCAGGATTGTTCTTCTCCGCGGTGCTTTTGGCCCTACATCCAAAATACATGCCAAATACTCCCAGCGGCATTCTAACGGGTTTCACCAGAGAGGCTGAATACTTCCCGATTTCGTTTGGATGTTGCAACGAAAGGCCAACGACATCCGGCGCCGATGGCCTGTGCGTATAAAGCGACCTTTTTCAACCGCAACATGCCCCTCAAAAGCCGATCTAACATGATGTTTTGTTGTGTCATTGCTGCCGGCGCTGTGATGAACGATGGCTCTACTCGCCCTATTCTGTTCGTGCAATACACTACCCTTTGCGAATTCCTTGTATGCCACCTCTTCCAACGAAGCACGACGTTGACTGCCATGTGGGTAGTTGTCTAAATTAGGGTCCCCTTTTAGGGTCCTTTTCGTAAAGATGCCGTACAGCACGATAATTAAAGAGACCCTAATTTAGAGAACTACCCATGTGATAGCATGGCTGTCGTGGTTCCTATCCGCCCCTGCCAATTGGGAGCCCCGCGGTCTGATGACATTCCGGAATCGCTTCATCTGCCCTCCACACTTGTCGCAAGCGCCCCAATCCTGAGATCTCAGGCAGTGGCTCACAGAGCTAAGCTGAATGGGTGAATTAGTGTAGCGTTTGAGCTCCACACAGACCACTCCGACCATTTGCAGTCTTGCGGCTGGCACGCCTGAACACAGGCTCCGCACACAGAAACGCAATACTGTGCCTATAAGGATGCACGCTGTGACTTCTCTCTCAAACACAGCGTAGAAAGAGCATGCTGCGTGGCTGCTTGCAGTCTGGCAAGATTGAGAATTGAGAGAAGAGCTGCGAGAGAGACAGGCACGGTCAGATAGATGCTACTCACATGGGCAGATGGCTAGACAGGTCGGTAGACGGGCTATACTAATATGTTGCCGACACACATAACTGCCCACTATCTGTGTCTGTGTGCGCATGTCCCGGCACAACTCAAGGATTCTCCGCTTGCCATGTCCATCGGCTGCGTGTTTTTCGATTGTTCGAAGCTGGTTTCGTTGTGGTGTTTGCACGGGACCTTGTCTCATTCCATGTGTGCACCTCAGTGAGGACTCCAGTAATAAGTCCATGAAGCGGCATTCCCTGCCATCCCTGCCCGCAGGGTTCTTCGGTAAACCCAAACCCACTTGCCGCCCGTTTGGCTCTCTCGCAAAATTCGGATTACTCCACAGACTCGCCTGGCAGCAAACACGTTTTGTACGTCTGCTCTTTTAAACCTGGAAAGCCTACCAAGGCAGCGTCTGTTCAGCGGGTGGTTTGGGACATGGTTTCGGGATTCATAGGGTCATGACCAACCCACACTCCCACCTTCTTCTCTCTCAATTCTCCAGAGCGTCTGGTCCAAACTCTGATCCAGTCCAGCAATCCCCTCCAGGGTGAATCATGGTCCGAGACGGCCTCCGCGCAGGAGTTCAACTCGCAGCCTTCTGTTGCCTCGAGCGTCTGCCCAAGACTTTCAGCCTACTTCTCCAAGGACGTGCACCAAGGGCGTGGCAGACAAGTCAACATGACCTTCCCAAAATGCAAGCATGCAGGAATCGATTATATTTCCTTGCAGTGACAGATCGCTGTGGCATCATGAGGCACTGTGCAGCGCCGGTCTCAGGTGGCAACAAGGGCGTCCGCCGTGCGAATTCATGGTCCTCACTTTCCGCGTCCGCACCTCACAGAGACTCTGCTGCCAGCCAAGCAGCGCTATCGCTGGACGACTAAGCCCTTGCTCTGGACCCGGCTCGCTGCCCGCGGCCACAGCTGACCGAGCAAGGTGCCCATGACTGCCAAGGTTCCATGACCTTACGGTACAGCAGACGCTGGGATGGCGCAAGCCTTCGGTTCAATAGTTACAACACCAGCTTCCTGACGCAATCGACAGCATCCTCGCCACGTCCGCAAGCGCTTACCAAGCCTCAAATGTCAAATATGGGATGCGGAAAGCACGCAAAGGAAATGGAGAACCATTGCGACCAGCGATGCTTCCGAAGCAGAACCAACATTGTTGCTCGGTGGCAGGCAATCGCCCCTCCAGCAAGCTTTGGCTGCAAAGACGAGACTCTTGCCTCGCGTGGCGGAAGTGCCTTGTCTACTTACGGAATAGCATAAAACGGTTACGAGGTTGATCGCTTTCCCGAGTGCATCGCTGAAGCCGGGTTGTGTCTTGAATTTGACACTGGCACGGCTGGTGCCCTGGACAACACAAAAGCTTTTCAGGCTTCTGCCATGCGAGGAAACGGTGCTTCAGATCTGTTTTTGGCCCATTCATGCGGCCTTCCACAGAATTGCGGCTGCATGCATCTCTTGTTGAGGGCTTGCACTCATCGGGTCCTCCAGCACACCACTACAGCCGGACCACACTGCAGCCCCAGTCGGACCCTTCCCCTCCTTTGGTGGCTTCACTCCAGGCATCTGGGATGTGACCACCAGCGTGCCATCCGCAGTTGTGTCCGATGACAGCCTCGATTTACGGGCACAGGAGATCGGGCAGTTTGAGGTTGGGGTGGCTTGAAAATTGAAGCTCAAGCGTAAGCCCATCACACAGATTCGTGGCTCAAGAAGGCTTCGTTGCCTTCCGGAGCCTTGGTGCAATTTTTAAACGGCTTTTTCCAAATGCCAGAAAATGCCCATCGTTTAAGGCCACAAAGCGTGGCAACCAGAAGAACTGACTTTGACTTACGAGTATGACTTGCCTCCAATATGGCGCCATCTGCGACGTCGAAGAATCTCAGGCGCAAACGAGCATGCACATGATACAAGGACGACACATAATTTGCCATCCGCCATCTCTTAACAAGTGTTACAGGAACAGTAGCAGCCCTCGCGACTGCACAATCGGATGACCCCCTCACTCCGGACTCTGTGCACATGAATGCTGCAGGAAAGCGATAGTGCTGAGAAGCTAGCTTGATCAGCAGCATCTTGGCTTGGACCTCTCGCTGGTCTTGCTGCCTGGAATAACACTGCACTCTGGACTTGCAGGCCAGCACATTAGCTTGGACAGCGAGCGGCGCACCTCATCAAGATGAAAGTCACCTCAATTTCGGAGCCTTCAGCAGCCACTGCTTGATTGGATTGCACTGTGATAGGCTCTTGCGCCCATAGTGTGAATGAGTGGATGTCGTCGGTCGGTCGGTCGGTACGCCTGTATGCTTGTATGTCTGTATGTCCTTTTGTCTCTGTATGTATGCTTGCATTATACTATTGCCCATGGACCCCCCGGTCATTTGCTTGCTAATTGCGGCTGCAGTAGCACACGAGGGCATGCTGAGGTGCCAGCCTGCTTCAAAACCAATGCGGCCAGCGTGCCCATACAAGCCCGTCGATTCATCACCTAAGCCAGTCGCTTAATGAGGCGCGGGCACCTGAAAGCTTGGTGAATGCGAGGCCGTGGCTCAACTGCGCGGACCGGCTCAGTGCTGTGACGACCATATTCACAGAGTCTCCGTCATCTCCTGCAAAAGACTGCAGAATGCCGCACGGCTGCCGCACCACTGCCCCAAATGCTCTTTGGCCTGGCATCTTGGTGACGCCCGTGAATTTCAGCTCTGCCTCAGTGCAACATGTCCGAGATGCACAAACCCAAGCCCGTGTTGAAGGAGTCAAAGCAGTCACCTGGCCCGGCTGGACGTTCTTGGACTCAAGGTTGTCCAGATGCAAGTACCTGCAACTGGAATAAGCAAGCCTATGAAACAACTCCGATTTGTTCGGCAAGGTCGCAGAGCAGGGCTATTGAACTCCAGAAGCCCCTTGTCTGTGGAGCAGGGATAAGTCCTGGATGAAGCATCGGAAGAATCCGTCCGCGTAGCTCGCATTATCTGCGTTCCATCAATTTGAGTCAGACACTGGTGCGTCGGGCCCAGGCAGTATGCTCCATCTCCTCACCCATGGCATGAGTCACACATTGCCCGCAAACTAAGCAGCAACTGCGATTGTCTTCCGCTGTTGCTTCTCCCTCTGGCACTCCAGGCAGTGCAGTATGATAGTGTTGTTGACACTTGCGCTCAAAGTTCATCGTGCTCTCAAGCCTGTCCTGCTCCTTGTACAGCGATCTGGCGAGACCTGGTCTCAACTGACTTGGCTCTAACGTCCAAGGCCCACAGCACCTGGGTACCTCCGCTTGACACCATCACACTCCTGCGTGCAGGCACTCCAAGCCTTGGAACTTGAGCTGCGGCAAGTCTGCAAGAATATTGAGTCTCATGTTTACTCAGACTCTCCTCTCACAGTGCTTTGGGGGGCGGCCAACCATTCAGCAAACTCACAGTCCACACTGGGCTTGCAGGGCACACCTGGCATCCGTGATTCGGGTTCAAGCACATTCTGCGCTCGTTGCCGTGTCCCCAGCCCTCGCATTGGTTGATTTCAAATTTCAAGCCCTGAAGTACAAACAAGCGCGGGTTCTACCCCAGTACACACGTCCAACTCAAGCGAAAGCCTCTATCCTAGCTAGTCGCTTCTGTGGCAAGCTATAAGGGAAGTAACTTGGCAATGTCCTCCGTTGCGGACCTGTGACCAGATCACCAAAAGACCAAGGCCCAGGGACGACTAGAAGTCTAAGAATCAGAAGATCGCGGGACCGTGTGGGACCGGAGCGGGGGAGTGACAAGCCACTCCGACAAAGAACACCTGACTGTTCCCGTGGTCTTTGCAAAAAAAAGGGACAGCATTTGCGTTGCTGCATCTTCCAAGACATGGGTGGAGGATGTACTCGTTTGCAACGGGACATGCCATGACACCCCATGTCCACTCCCTCAACGGCAACAGCACTGAGAAATAACTTGTGCTTCATCAATGACAGTCGCAGGGTTTTGAAGCAGAAAATCATTGTTGCAGAAGGGTTCCTTCTGATTTCCGACCAAGGTCTTGAAATTGGGCAAGGCTCGCGTGAACAATCAGAATCGCTGAGAAAAAGGAACATGCTTCTTGGGATATACGCCGAAGAGCACTCAAACCAAAAAGCACTGGGAGTGCGCATCCAAACAAGTGACATCAATCCAACACCTATGGACGAAGCTCCTAGAAGTCTGATGTCCAGTCCTCAATCCTTTCCCTGACCTGATGTATCGATTTACTGAATTCCAGAATGCCGAAGCCCGAAGCCCGAGAAGGCTGGGGCCTTCGTTGCAGCTGGCATGCTGCTGAGAGGCACCGGCCACGGGCCGGCCGCAGCTGAGAGTGACATGCGAGATCAAGGAGAGCTTTGAGATTTGTTTGGAGCACAGAGTGACTTTTGTAGAATCCTGATGATGATAACGGCATGACATGGGACTCTGCAGCTTTTCTTAAAGCTCTTCGCCGAGCTAAGGGAGTCTTGCGGGTCATTGTGTCTGATTGTCTCACGAACAGAACAGTCTGTGGCGCAGGCTCGTTGGCGTTTCGGACGATCTTACGCGAGCGCCACGTGATCCCACCTTCCGTGGTCAAACTTCTGGAAACTCTCAGAATTGCAGCCAGGCTTCGAGACCTGCTTCTTTCCCTCACACAATTCCCAGCCAGCCTCTGCAGGAGATGGAGCATGGCTCCCAGTCCTGAACGAAGCCGGCATCGTGACATTGCACACACATGCCGTGCAAAAGAGCAAACCCGAAGGCAAACTCAACCTGCTCCATCAAAGTCCTGCCAGGGGGACCATAGGGCATCCACACACTCGTCTTCCTCGCATTTCCTGCGTACCGAATCTGTCTCGTCGCTGTCACAGACAGCGAGTCCAACACCACACACTTTCAGTCTCTGGCTGGGTGTTGCATGGCTCGATCTGCTGTTTGTCGAACGGTTCGCACGGCCTTGCGGAGTGGAGCAAAGCCGTCAAGGCCGTCGCATTGGCGGGGCAGTCAAAGACTCACTCTAAGCTTCAGGCGTGCAGCCAGGCTGCGGAGCGCGCGCAATGTGCCGGTTTCGGGTCTTCTGACCTCGCCGCCAGCAGCTTACTGTTAACACCCCGAGCATGCCGTACGCAGGAGCATGCCGTACGCAGTGCGTGCACCTCCGCCGCACTCGCACGTGCAAGCACTCCACTCCGACCAGTCACGCCAGACCTCGGGCAAACAAGGGATACGTGGCAAGTGCGGTGAGCCAGCCAAGCGAAGTTGAGGTTCCGAGCACAGCCGCAGTCGGACATTGGACACAGTTCCAAACGACGTGCCTGCGCGTTCGCAATCTGAGTCTGAGTATAAATATGGGATCAAGTCAAGTCCAGAATGTATCCCGTGTCGATGAGTTATCTGTGCGACAAGATGCCATCCACCTCGAGGGTTCCAAACTGGTCGCTGCAGGGCTTTATTTCTGCCATCGGCATGTCGCAGCCTCCGGTGAAGCGAATAAAGACATGCCTCGCATCGTCGGGCCCTCCTTTCGGGCCACACAAACACGAGGCCCGGGCCAGAGCCGCCCTCCTGAAGAGCTCAGAATGAGAAGGCTACGAAGTGTCTGTGTCTCCTGTGTTTCTTCTGGTGTTCTCCGCATGTGGTGTGGAGGTGCTTTTGAAGGGTGTAAGATGGATGTATAAGAATCTGCGAGAGAAGAGGAAGCCAATTTGCACACATCGGTTCCCGACCTGTGCCAAATGGGTGAAAGTTCGGCTCCGTTCCTGAGACAATAGAAAACCCTCTGTGGCTGATCCGACCAAACAACTGCAAAAATCGCAGCATCTCGGAGCTCCCCGTCCGTGGAACCAAGAGCCTGGCGTGGACGCCGCTGCCGCAACTGTTGCTGCACTCGCCCCAGGCGGACCTCATGTCAAAACACTGGCATAAAAAAAAAAAACATGCCTGGCTTAGACTTAGCCCTTTTGCAGCCCTTGCAGTAAAACTCAAAAATAAGAAAGGCCACGACCAGTCTGAAACTTCGCAGCTTGTAGTTTGACCTTTCCACAGCTGATCGCAGTTGCTCGCAATCGTTGCAGCTTCTGTGGCTGGTGCAGGGAATTTCGTTGCAGCCCTGCGTCCTCGGGACGGCTCACGTTCGGAAGCTGCTGCACTCGGGGGGGAGCATGGGCCCGGGCTCGACCAGGTCTTTGAGGCACCTGCAGCTCAATGCACGTTCAGGGATCCTGCTCCTGTCCAAGCCCTACAATAGCAGTGGCAGCAGCATCAGCATTTGGAAGTTGATTATCCGCCGAGCTGGCAGTAGAGGGGATGATCACTAGCCGTTGCCAAGCGTTAGGTTGTTCAGTTGCTAGTATTCCTGTTCATGCTCCTATTCGCATTCGAAGGAGTACCCAGGCTGCGTATCAGCGACTCTTTCTCCTTCAATACCAATGCTTATTATTACTGCTGCCAGTGCTACTCCTGCTATCATTGCAGGTGCGTGGTTTTTGAGCGCCCGGCGGCTTTCCACCATTTTGAGGGTTCTGGGTCACCTGGCGGTTGCGCTCCTGCTGGCCACCTCCGCAACCTGGGCCACAAGAGTAGTAAGAATATATATTATATATTATATATTATATATTTTATATTATATATTTTATATTATAATGATATTCCACGCGCCGAGGCGCTGAGAGGACGACTGATATCCAATTACTGGTGAAAGCATTCCGGTACGCTGATATGAGATCCAGCTGAAAAAGTAGTGACGACTGATATGTAATCCTACATACGTGGCCGTCTCAAGGAATACTAAGACGTCGCCAACAAATCGCATCCAGCAGGTGGGGCCTGCTGCGGGGGCCTCATTGCAGCACAACTGCGTGCTGCTCCGCTACTTTTCCTCCGGCCCTCGCGGCCGTGCACACCGAACTCAACCCAGCAGCTGTGCACCCAGTGTCATGTTGCATAGCATAAACCAGCTAGGTCTGCGACTACAAGCATTCGTCTCGACGACACCGTCCCACAAGAGCAAGCAGCAACACGATCCAAAACAGGCAGTGCTTGGCGATACGGTTTGCTCGATAAACACTGACTCAGCTGGAGTTGCGCCATATCCTGGAAACTGATCCCTCGCTGTAGCGCTGTCGGTGCACGGAAAGACTTCTCTCTCACACACAGCCTTCCATGCGATCTGCCCCGCTTACTGCATGTCTCCTTCTCTCCCGAGCTCGGGGCTCTTGTCACACTCGTCCCAGGAAGCCCAGGGAGACACCTTGGACATAGAGAGTTAGCATTGGAGCAACCACACAGTCTCGGTTAAGCCCACCTCGCAATCGATCGTGCCACCGCAGTTTCGAATCTCAGTCAACGAACCTGTCAGGATCACTGCTGTAGTTTCGCACGCCCTCTGCGTGGCTTTATCGCCCCTGGATCTCGAACCCTATTCTTTGCCCGGGGTATGAAGCTGCGCCTAGAGCAGGATCTCCACCACAGAAAGCTGGCTGCTGCACCTTGGGTCTTGAAGAAAGCAGCCCATGGTGGTTCAAGCTCGGGAGCGAGACTGGTAGGTACATTGAGCACTTGATACATGAAGCTCACAGGTCATCTTACGAATGTCTGACATGAAAGACTTGGACAACAAATGAGCGATCTTGACCTTGCAATGCCTCACTTTCCGGTATGGCCAGCCTTCCGCTTCCTGATGTGCATGCCGCCATTGCAACTGCTCCACTCTTCCCTGGGACATGATGGTGTGGAGCAATCACAGAAAACGTCTCAACTCGTTGACAGATTCCACCTGACGCTCAAGCTCTCAAAGCTGAGGCTGGTTCCATTGAGAAAAGGCTGCATCCGTCACTTCGCCTCCAGAATCCGAGGCTCTGATTTCAAGTTCCCACACCGACATCACCGACGGCCAATCCAAACCAAGGCTTCGACAAGGGCAGGGGCCCGGGTTGCAGGGCTCCAGCAGTGCAAGTGGGCCCTGGCAAGGCCTCGGAAAAAAGACGTAGGAGCAGTCTGAGAGTCTCTTTTGACTTCGCAGATTTTGGTGTGTGGAACGCACCATCGCTGCTCGGCTTCCGGCTGGCCACCTCCACTGGCCTGGACCTGGATGCTCCGGGACCTGCCAGAAAACGGCACAAAACACAAGGGTGGTCCTACGGGAATCCCTCCTGCCTGGTGCGAAGTCCACTTCCACAAGATGTGGTGCAAACAGACCATTCGCCGTAAGCCGAGAGCCTGGCAGGAATCTGCCACCGCTTGACCCTCCAGCCGCTGGTTTGGGCACAGTAAGACCCCAGCTCAGCACAACTCGAAACCCTCGAGCCCTTTAGCACTTTAGAGTTGAAACCCTGATTTTCAGGAATCACAAGCCAGGTCCGCTCACAGTCAGCCACCGCATCTCCCACCTGCGAGCACCTGGCAAGAGCCGCCCCCGCAGGTCTTGGCTTGCCCCTTCCACAACTCCCACCATTGCGGCCAAGGAGCCCCATCGTCTCGCGAATCATGCCCGTACATGGTTCCCTGTGCAGAATCCGCATCAGCTGATTGCGAACTCGACTACGCGGCAGAGTTTCGAGCCGCAGGATTTTCACGCCAAGCCCTCTGCCCTCCGTTCATGGCTGCTCTGACGACCTAGGCAGGCAGCCAGGCGGCTTTGCAACGGCAGAAGGATCAGCTCGGTGTCGCACCGCACGCTCCCTTTGTCTCTGGTCAGAGGAGGCCAGACACCTTTGCTTTGCTTATGCAAACTTGGCGCCCAAACTCTGCCTCTCTCCCTGGGTCCTTTTTTCTCCGAGGCCGCAGCTCCGAAGGCTCCCAAAGGCCCCAGTCACCTCTCAGGTTCTCCCCACGCGCGCCCGGCCCGGCGGCGCGGCGCACCCGACGGCGTTTTTCTCGGGCCCCGGGCCCATGAGGCAGTCGACCGGCTGCGTGCAGTTCTTCCAACACCTGTGTGGAAAGGCCCACCGCACTACTGCGTGAGTACGATGTGAGTACATCACGACGTGTCAGCCCTAGACCGTAGGTACTCCACGAAACTTATCCGTGCTGCTAGATACTCATAACACGAAGCTGAGCAATTGGTGCATGCTTGAAGCGGCAGCGCCGGAGGAGAAAAGAGCACCATCATGAAAAGCTGTGTGTGCAGTGAACCCCGCCACTCAAGACGAGCCGCGGGAAGGACTTCCTTCTCGTAAGACCAGATTGAAAGGAAACTTCTAGAAGATGAAACAAAGCAGCCAAGCCAGGCTTCTCGAGATGGCATTCCGCGATATCCCATGATTTTTTTTCGGACTAGACTCCAACAGGGCATGTACAAGCTGCGCAAGCAGTAGACCAAAACTGCACAACCCTGAAGCCGGCTGGCAGAAAGCAAGAACAGGCATCTCTCGCGCAACTGCGAGGACACAGGCTGAAAGACATCGTGATCGTAGCCCGTGCATCCTGCGAACCTCTTCGTCTCGACAAGCAGTCCGGCGCAAGGCGTCCCTCCACACCTGGCGTCTGCCGTCCCTTGTCTCAGTTTCATGTCCGGGCTCGTGCACAAAGCTGTTTGGACCCTCTGTTGCACCCTCGACTCTTACCGGAAAGCAGAATTCACCGCTTTTCCAGCAGACATCTGCGCGCAATTGCGCACATCAAAAAGAAGGGCAGCATGAAACTCCTGATTGAGCTGCCGAAGTTCGCAGTAACACGTAAGTACCGCAAAATTGAGATGTATTTCATCTGCTAGGCGGGCTCACGGTGCCTACGGCACCAGGCTGTTTGCAGCCCTGCAAAACCATCACACAAGCGCGTGTCCGGCGTGCCCAGGACCCTTGAGGTTGGCACTCAGGCTGGCTGCATCGGCAGAATCGAAAAGGAAGGCCGTAAGAGTGGCCTGTTTCTTTGGAAATGCAGTCGGAGTCGGGAGTGTTGAAGCAGTGGATTGCTGGGAGGGCATCCCAGGCAAAGCCTGTTGCTGCTTCATGTGCTTGAGCATCTTGCCGAATCTTCGGCTTAATTGCTTCAGCTCTGCATGCATGGCAACTTGATCGATAGCACGGGCTGGGCCCTTGCAGCGCATGACTCCATCTATGAACTCCGCTAGCGTCACTTCTCCATCCCCATCATCTAAAAGGTGAAACAAAGCTTCACTTTCATGCACATCCAGATCCAGGGTTTGGAAGAGGGCCGCCACCTAAGCCGGCTTCTGGGAGCGAGGTCTATGTTTGTCATTTTGTCTGGTCTTTTTTGTGCTTTCTTCTGGTTGTGTTTGCTTTCTTGTGATTTTCGGAACATGGCTCCCTGGTCCTACCTGTCCTCCTCGTCTGCTTGGAATTCTTTGTTGTGTATTCTTTTTGGTTTGTTTTGTTGATTTTTCGGGCTTCAGGCTTCCACAGGCCCCGCAACGGTGTCTCGTCCCGAGAATCTGGCTTGTGTTCATTCTAACCTTATTTAGCGATTTTCTGAAAATGTGAAAACTTCCCTATAAGAGTTGTGCGATTGGCACAATTCTTCTTGATGGCGCGATGTTCATGAAAGCAAGCCATGCATGGCATAAAAATAGAAAGCTGAGGGGGTTTGGGGGGTGCAGCCGCCCCAATTGCCAACCCAATGTACGTCTGCATCACGGGTCTCACAGTTTACAGTTCAGAGGCTCAGCGACAAATCAAATAATTCTTTGGTTATGGGCTTTTTGCCATGCTTGGTGGTATAGATCTCCTTCTCAGAGCGTGCGAGGGCTCTTCGGTCCCCCAAAAACGCTTTCTGTCGCTTCCAGACTCCGCGTTTGTATCTCCTACCGCCCTTGCCTTCTTGAATAAGTGCTTGCCTCAACAGCGCCACCCTGCCTCAGAACCTCCTCAACCTCTGCAGCATTGAAACTTTCTTTTGGTGCGACGCAGCATGTAATTATAAAGCCTCTGTGTGTTTCAGTAATAAGAACCGAAAAAAGATTGCCAAATTAACCCTAAAGGTCCATGCCACGTATGTATATATATATATTTGTTTGTTTTATTTATTTATTTATTTATGTATTTGTTTATCTATTTATTCATTTATTTATCTATTTATTTATGTATGTTTATATATATATATGTAGAAATATATGTAGAAATATATGTACATATACATTTTAATACATATACATATGCACTTATACAGAAACACATGCATCCTCATCATCAACATCCTCATCATCATCATCATCATCATCTTTACCATCTTGTTCGTTCTGTCTTTCCTTATATATTCCTGTCTTTATGTGTTCTGTCTTTCTGTGACTTTTGTTCTCTGCGCTGAATTGCTGTCTCTTTCCGTATCTGTTTCTTTCTTTCTTTATTTTTTGCTTATGTTGTATTTCTTCCGATTTGTTGTCTTTGCTTGTTTACTTGGTTGCTTCGTTTTTCGTTCTTTTGTTCTGTCATTCCCACGATATTTCTTTAATCATGTCTGTCTTTCTTTATCTCTGCACTGAATTGTCAAATTGTTGTCCTTCTTTCTGTGATTATGTGTGTTGTTCGTTCTTTCTTTCTTCGTTATTTCTGTCTTTGCTTCTTTCGTTATTTGCTTCGTTCCGTCCTCTTTTCCAGATTTTGCTTGGAGTATTTTTTGGATCCCTGGGACAGGTGTTGTTCCGTTGTCGTTTGCCTTGTTATTCTGCTTACAAAATAGGAGTAGTTTGTTTTTGTCTGATCCCTTACTTAAATATGTTTTTTTGATCCCTTAGATAGTTTTCTGTGACCTTTGAACTAGTTGTTTTTTTGACCCCCATCCCACACCCGACTGGTGTGGGGCGAGAAGTACTATCCAGGCCGAGGTCTCTGTAACGGGGGATTTCTCTCTCCACAAGAGAGGAAGGGGGCTCGACCCCCCCCCTCTGCACGCGCACGCGCACCCGCAAGTCACGGGCTTTTGGAAGTCCCCCAGAGATGTTTCCTCTGTGGGGCTCGGGTGTGCAAAGGCCCTAAGGACTTCCCCTTTCGAATTTCTCTCTCTTTCTTTCTTCCCGCCAGTCCTTCTGTTCGTTCTTTTCTCGTTCTGTGTGTCCTTCTCTCTTTATTTATCAGTGTATTTATGTTGTTGTTTTTTATGTCGTGTCTTTTCTTTCCTTCTTTCTTTTTGACTCTCGCCTTCCTTCCTTCCTTCCGTCCTTCCTTTATGCCTTTCTTTCCTTATTTCTGTCTTTCTTTCTTTCCTTCTTTCTTTCTTTCTCCTGCCTCTTCCTTTCGTTCTTTTGTCCTTCGGTTCTTCCTTTCCTTCTGCCTCTTTCTTTCTTTCTTTCTTTCGTTGATCCGCTCTTTCTTTCTTTCTGCAGGTCCTTCAATTCTTTCTTTCTGAAATGCCTGTCTACCCTGCTTCCCAAGCCCAACCAACACCAGAAAAGTCACAGAACAAAAACATACAAAATTGCAAGAACAATGCGGTAGCCCGAATTCTGTCTCAGTGCATGCAAGACCTTGACCTGCATATTGGAGCTATGAAACAGATTTCGGATGCACATGCATTGCGACCAAAAATGGTCTGTAGTGTCAAGACGGAAAGCAGACTGCTTGAAGACTGAGGTTTCGACCTTGGGATTTCCCAAAATTTGGGTCAGCCGCTCTTCCGTGATTAGCCCGCTTCCAGAAGAATCGATGGCTTGAAACAAGTGTTCCAATTTGCGAACGTAGTCCGCCTTCTTGTGCATTTTCTCAACCACGAGGTGCTCTGCATCATTTTGAGCTGCGTCCAAAGTGTCCTCTTTATTCATTCATAACCCCGCGCCCATCGCAGATCCTACTACATCTACTGTACATCGAAATCTGTGCACTTCGCTCTTCGCACAGGGAGACCAGGCATGGGAAGGGTGCAGCATCCAGATTCTAGATACCACGACAGCCTCTTACTTTGCCACTTGTGATCGCTCATTACCGCTGATTCCACACGCTGCGACGGCAAAACACTGAATCGCTCCTTCAGGAAGATGGCACTGATGACACGGATCAATGCGAAGACGATGATCGTGATATAAACCACGAAAAATATAGAGTAAAATTGGCTGACCTTGTCGAGGACTGGTCGAGCATTCGTCGGCCAATTCCCTGAAACAAGGGTGTCAAATGCTAGGGAACTGTAAAGAATTTCAACTGGGCCTGCAAAAGTCACTTCGTAAATCGTGTATGCAGATCGGTAAGCTGTGCCATACAAGGTCCACATCTGCACCCTGTCCTTAGTTGGTTGCCGGAATGATTGCTTCGGTGATTCATTGCATCAAGATGATCTAACCACGACTCTCCGAGCAATTCGCTTGACTTGTCAACCATTCGAACAAAGAACCTCATCCCGCACACAGCCGCCCATAGCAAGCCAGCTGCGTCGTAGCTTTGAGCTGGATCGAGGATGAAGGCGTGGAGTGCATTAGCCATGATCATGGCACCCATGAGAATAAAGATGCCTGAGCGGAGACAGGCCGTACGACGACAACAATGGAGATCTGTGGTTGGCTGGAAGACCAAGATGCTGAGCAGGACCATAGCCCAAAATAGCGAAGGCAGAAAGCATTGACATGCCTTCACCAAAACTCGCAGACCACTGAGAAATCGGAAGCTTCCTCAATCGAACAGCGGAAGCTTTGGCAGGATCTGCGCACACACACACACACACTCAGAGTGCCGAAGCCTGCTGACAACTACCTGTTGCCGCTCCGTCGAGTCTGCGCGAGTCGCCGCTAACAGGTTTCCGTGGACACACGTCGAGGTCGCATAAGCATACAAAACTCCAGAAATTATATTGACTTGCGGCTAGATCCTGACCTCTAGCAAGACATCCCAGAAATTGATAATAAATGTTCTTACGATGAAAGCTGGACATTGCTTGCAACGACAATCACGACTTGGGTTACATCGCTGCGAACTGGGCCCGAACCTGGCGAACGGCGTTACGCGACAACTCTACCCTGTGCAGTCCGCATGATTGCAGGAGAGATCTGAGAAACAGCCTGTGCGACATGCAGGAGCAAACACAGAAAAAGGCACATGATGTCGCCAAGTCTAGCAACTAGCAGAGCTGCGCACAATCCGAAGTGCACGAAGAGATTTGAGGGCACGCATCACCTTGAGCAAGACGATGTCAGCGTTGCCATCTCCACTGAATGGTGGGCTAACCTGAACTAATCGGGAGCTCTCATCAACAAACTGCTGCATGTATGTATTTACGGGAGAAAACGGAACCAACATCCGTTGGGTGAGCTTTGGTTCAGTTGAGTGTCTGCAAGATCGACCAGACCCAAAACCACCAAGAAAAGGTCGAAGACATTTGCCCAGTCCTGGTAAGATCTCATCTCACTGTCAAGATGCGCCAAGGGACCTAACTGCAGCAGCTAAGCTCTGTCTCTCTCCCGGTGCTTCTAGAGGAAAGCAGGTGCAGATGCACGTCACAATTGCGATCTATCTGTCAGTCTACCGATCCATCTATCTATCTATTTATCTATTTCACTATCTATGCATATGTGTATGCACACACTGTATGCTTCCGAAAATTTCACTCTAGATTTGTATATGTGTGTATGCATATGGAACGCCTCTCAAGACCTACATCAAAGCATTACGGATACTATGCCGGCACCAAGTGTATCAGCCTCCCGTGCAGGAATGGGCTTCAGCAATGAAGCTTCCTCAAATTCCCAAGTACTCCCGCCCGGACTTGCGTAGTTTTGATATAAGTCTGGACACATCTCTTGTCCTAATTGTGCAACAACCGGAGATTCTCAAGAACTCCAGATGGCTGACATGCTCGACAAGTCCAAAAGCTCCAGCATTCCAAATATCAAAAAAGTGCACCCTACCAATTTGGAATCTCTTGTGGACTAGGTGCTGTGCTGTCTTCTCTTGCATTTTGGAAACAAACGTTGGGAATTGGGCTTCTGATAAGCTCTTGGAATTTGTGGAAATTTCGATACTGTTTTACACTTTGGAAGTCTCCAGGCAAGTAGAAAGCTTGGGACTAGATCTGTAGCTCTTGTAACACCTTTATACGGCTAGTACATCTATGCGCCGGAAATGCAGGCTATGGTTGTCATATAGGCAGCACACGGATTGATTGAAGCGTCACCGCCAAATACTCATGTCTCATCCAGTCACTGCCCAGTTGCTACTATCCAACGCTCAAGCTGTAGTTACGAGAAATGTTCAAATATATATATATATATGTATGTTCTTAGTTGTTGTGCGCCTGGCCACTTTGCATACTCAGGAGGTGTAAGCTGAAGCAGACAAACTCTGCAAATTTAACAACCTCTGCAATGCCGAACTCATTGTTAAACCCGTATATTGCAAGTAATACCTTACCACAACATTAAACATCTATTTGGCCAGCGTGGCAGCAACATTCAACCAAAGTTTAGACACTTTCTGTATTTAACATAGTGGATACCAGTTCAACACTCTGGCTGTTGTCTCGTAAGCCTTCAACCACAACATACAAGCTGTTTCAGCATGTACTTGGCTCTTAACAAACTGCTATTCACAGAATACTCAACCGGATTTCAAACACTGGTTCATTCATATATACTCGACACCTTTCCCACCTTGTCTACATGATTCAAAAATGACGAATAATGGCAATACTTAGCCTCCAACACGTAGTAGCCAAGTCTTGGATGATTGTTCTAGACTATGACTATCGTCTGTTTCATTGGGGAGAAGACCACAATAATAGATTAGCGAATGCCAAAGAAAGCGTCCGTGAACGAAGGAATCATAGCATTGTATATGCACAGCCTCAACATGACGAAACTGAGCTTGCTTTAATCGTGGTGAAAGGTTCATAAAGGCTGAAGTAGGCAATGGGATCAACATCACGGAAAGACTTCTTAACTTAGGCATGAAATGCACATCTGACTAAAAACTCGTTATCTTGAAGAAGGCGTTGTTAATTACTGGCTCTGCATCAGTTATCGATGGTTCTCATTTTGCAAATGGGCAATTCGTGCTAGTTGGTTTAGCATCCACTTGTAGCTGAACACTATTGGGGTCATGTCAAGGCGCTGAGGATATGACAATGAAATATAGGGTCTTTTGATGTCAACATCACATGTTGAACGAGAGACTCCAGTACCAGCAGCTGCTAATTCAAACATGTGTTCCGAAAACGTTGACAGAATTAAACTTGCATAACCCAGTACTACGCGATGAGGCACCAAACTAAAATCTAAACAATTACAGATTACACACTAAAACAGGGGCTAAAGAATGTACCAAAACTGACTGTTGTAACCCGCATTGTTTCAACATTGGATTGTATAGCTAAGTGCATATCATTTAACAAGATAGCACGTCTCCAGCAGCAGCAAGACTGGAGTTCCTTCAGCTGAACATCTTGTTTTAATTCAACATACTCAAGTGAATATCATACAAGTCAACATGGTGAACACCAGGCTGACTTGCTTCTTGGTTGTTGCTGTCTACCAACATTAGACATAACTGCTTGCACGGTTCTAGTAGGTGGATGCAGGTGATATCGGCATTGTTGGGGAACTAACCACCGATACAGATTATGATGAAGGTGGCCAGAAGTAACCTTGCATAGTTATATAGAAATATCCATCCAACCACATATGGTTATGCCTTCCAGAGCCCCCATTCACGCGCAGTTCGCACTACCTTCATGACCCTTTCGCTTCGGTGCTTCCAGCATTTTCGGACTTCAGTCTTCGGAATTGCCGGGGCACAACGCGTTTGCGCAGTTGGGTGTAATTCCGTCGCTTGTCCCCATGATGCCCCCGAAGCTTGAACACTCGCCATGCACTTGCTACATCCGCTGTGCTTAAGAGCAGGTTGCGTGGACAACCTGTGCAGACCGTACACTTGTCTGAGTCTCCAACTAAGGCCCTTGGGTATGCAGCCCGTACTCTTGTCTAAGCCTGCTGTCACGGTTGTCTCCCATGGTGAAGTTCGGTCCAACAAGTTTGCCGCTACAGCATGTGTCTGGGCTGTGAACACTGGTTGTCTGCTGCTTGTCTGGCATGGTGAAGATCCACGCCAAGAAATTTCACGCGCCTCAGAAAAGCAAAGCCTAGACATAAGTCTTGGGGGTTGCTCCGCGTGCCAGAGATAACACGACTCCTCAGTGCCCGCAACATGCATGCAGAAGTCAAACACGCCAACACAACACAAACCCGAAGAAAACTCACAAAAAAAATAAAACAACAAACCGAAAATGATCACGTCGAAGTCACGAAATGCCGCGCCTGCCACGCTTGTCGAAGATTCGAAAACTGCGTCAGTTCAAGACCCAGCCTTCAAAATGTTTGCTTCACCATCCGTTTGCACCATGTGAGCGCCTGTCCGCGTGCCTGTTCCACGTGCTTCAAAGCAAATATATTCCCGCTTCTTTCCAACTGTGTTGATCTCTCCTTTTTCTGGCAAACGTTGAAAGATCAAATTCCTCGAGTTTTTCCCTCTTACCGACAAACCAGGTCGATGGACCGAACAAAGTCACGATGTTAGCATCTGCATGGCTTGAACACACTCTTCTTGGCAGCTGGGCCGAAACAATTTTTTGAGTTTTAGCGTGCAGTGACACCAAACCCAGACTTGTGACACCCGTGTTTTGACTGGTACTTACAATACAACAAGTTAGAGCGCGCGTGTAACCAAGGCTCCGGAGCAAGGTTATACATGATGGTATATGAACACATACCAGCATACATAATCATGTCTGGTGGTGTACTGTTATAAGTATACAACCAATGAACACACACATATATATATGTGTGTGTGTGTATGTATGTATGTATGTATGTATGTATGTATGTATGTATGTAGGTAGGTAGGTAGGTAGGTAGGTAGGTAGGTAGGTATGATGTATGTATGTATGTGCGTACGTATGTATGTATGTA